CTTAAGAGTTTACTTAGTGTGATATAGAGACAAAAAGACATGTGTCATACTCGAAGAGCTGTTTCTCTTTGGGTGGGATATAAAAGACACGTCGGCGAGAGAAGTCACAAGATGAGAGAATGGAGTTTCCTGTTGTCTGTTCATCTCTGTAAACTGATTTGCAAATTAATACTTAATCTTTAGCCTTACGTAATCTAATTAGGGCTGTTGTTTTGCTGTTGTGGAAGGCTTAGGTGTATCATTTCTGGTTAAAGACGTAATGGCAAATGAATTGGGGCTTCTTCTGTAAGCCCTCCCCCCTTTTTTTCCACTTGTGTCAAAGTAGATCTGTGCTGTAGGGCATGACGATTTTGGCCTTTCCTGTGAAGTACCTCTGGGTGGACTCAAACCATCAGCCTGTCGGTTAGCGATTGAGGATTTTAACCATTTTCACCACCCAGGTACTCCAGAGTCCACTAATTCAATCAGACCCCCCAAATCAGCGGATTCCCACTTGCCTTCCAAAGTGATTGAGTGTTGAAGCTGACTGAAAGAAAACACTGATTGTTTTGGCTTTTCCTAGACTAGTTATTTAAGAGCCTGGTGGTGCAGTGGGTTACCAGTACACTGGGCTGTTAACAACAAAGTTTGTGGTTCAAACCTACCAGCTACTCTGCAGGAGAAAGATGGAGTTGTCGACTCCCATAAAGAACTGGTCTAGAAAACATGATGGCGTCGTTGTGTTCTGTCCTGTAGCTTTATTATAAGTCAGAATTAACTCGACGGCACTGGTGGATGTTGGTGGAGCTGTTGTTAGGTTGTGTTGAATCCATTTGACTCTCAGCAGCCTTACAGTACAGAGTGGACGTGCCTTATTGAGTTTCCCAGGTGGCTGTCTTTGGGGGCGTGGATATCAGGGCTTTTCTTTTGAGGAGAGGCTGGTGACCTTTCTGTTAGCAGCCGGTGGCTTAATCATTACAGCATCGGGACTTCACCCCTAGACGTGGGTCTAGTCAACCTTTCACACTGGGAAATCGTTCATCTGAGAATCACCCGGAATGATGGCGCACTCTCATCCTGATGACGAGCGCTCACAGCGGCACTCGAGGCCATTGAGCTGGAGTGGCGTGCGTCTGGTGGTACTGCGCTTGTCTTTGCTACACGCGGCAGGTTTGTATGAATTACTGGCAGACATTTAGAAGGGAATTCCATCGTCCTCTAGAAGAAATGACTGATCCTAATTGGACTTGCCCAGGTTTGTAAACCTTTCCCGACTTATTCATATTCTAAAATAGGTGATAGTAAATTCAAAGACAATTTTCACTAGTGAGCAGGATGCCTCTTGATTCAGGTTTGTTGTCGTTCAGTTTTCTTCTTTTTTTTTTACACAATTATTCCACTCCCTTCTCTCGTCTCAATTTTAAACAAATTGTTTTGCTTCACTATTTTTCATCAAATCAAAGAAGGAGAAATTATTTAAAAACCTAAGGGAAACATACGAAGTATATGCTGCAAGGGAGAAACTTCAAAGCAATTTAGTTAGCAATATGATACTTTTTCATAAAAATCAGAATTTAAATTTAAATTAAAAAAATATAGGGTATATTTGACTTTAATATACAAAGGTATGTACAGTATTTTAGAAATTGTTTTCTTTTGTTTTTAAACAAGAAAATCCATTTTAAAGACTTATAGTGGTTTATGCACTTGATCCAATAGCAATGACTTTTTAGAGATAGATGAAGCATATTAACTAATTAGTCAAAGCATTTGAAGTTTTACATCTTTTATTTCAATGTCTATAAAACCTGATTGGTTGCAATCGTAGCCAGTTTTATCTAGAAGCACAATTTACCGTCTTTTAAATCTTTTCTGGATTTTTAAAAATACCAGGCAAAACTAGATACACCTAGTGAGAATTATGTGTTACTAGGTAAATCATTTTAAAATTGATTACTATTCTGTGAAAGATGAGGACATGGACTATAAGAACATAGAATACAGGTCTTGGATAAAGTAGTGACGGTTATGAGATAGTTATATTTAAATGCAAAAATCCATAAAAAAATTAAGATCCTGGAAAACCTAGTAGTTAAATTTGTTGTTAATATCATTCTCTAAGCCACTAATGAGAAGCAGTTTTTACATTTTAAGGGTCCGTAAATGCTGTAGACTTAGAACTGATGGAAGTAATTGGTAAACTTCTTAATGAAGTCCCACTTGGAATTGAATGGGAACTGCAGGGTAGAAAATGTAGGCTGGGTAAGTAACGCAACAAGTCAGTGGAGTTCTCTTTAGAGAAAGAAACAAAGATAGCCGTAATTAATGACCCTGACTCTGTGCCAAAAAAGCTTTCTTCTGACAACTCCAACTTAATTAAAACTTAAGACATTTCAATGGCCTCTGAAAGCCCCTGATGGGGTGAACTCTTGCAGACTCGTGAGAAAATTTTGTAAATTAAAGGAAAAGATGTGTGTTACCACTGGTGCCATGACTCTAATCCCTGACAGTCAAAGAATCTATTTAGCCCCAGCCTTTTCTTTTAACTGGCTCACACCTGCAGGCTCGCTGGCACTTCCTCTGCACCAGAGAAGGCAGTTTTTGTGTTTTACGGAAGATCAGATAATAGGAGCCTTGCTGTTCCTTTTGTTTCTGTGCATTGTTCATTAGCCTGTGAGTGTTGCAGGCACACTTGATATGCTTGGCTTACTCCAGAGTAGAGCGTTGCCTGAAAGCCTTAGGTGGTACAACAC